TTACGATGAATACCTCACTCGAAATGTGTCTGTTAAATTTGCTTCGTCAAAAACTCATTAGGTTTATTCAGTCAAAGGAGGGATGAAGAAAGGCATGAATTTTGTTACGTTTCAGAATTGTAATGAACTTACTCTGAATCTATAACTGTATTCGTTGTTTACCCCAGTAAAATACATGTTATCGCCAGCATTGATGACACCATGAAGATTGTGCCCGATGGCCCATTTCGCCATGGTCTGCGCAACTTTGCGCTGAGCACGAGTGTAGTATGGATAAAAAGGCAGCCCTTAATTGGTGTTGAGTCAAAATGAAAGTAAGGGTCGTAGTCTACCTCCGATGTCTCCTACTACGATCAGGTGTAAGGAACCAAGATCAGCATCACGCCCTTTGGTCATGAAAAATGTTTCAACTATCGCATCATCAGTCTTCTCAAAACCTGACGAGGTTGGCGAACGCTAGAATTGATGACTCTTTTATTTTCGACAAAATACAGAAAGAGCATACCGTTATCAAACCTATGATAGCTAAGCCCACTAGGTCGATCATAACCACAACGATAAGACTGTCGTACATGACCATATTGAACTGCAAAGAAAGGCACTTATATCAGCACAAAGGATGAAATGAGATTAGCGCAAAGACTCGATGTGTATTTTTTCGAAGATACGACATGATGTATTGTTCATCCATAATCATTACGAAGTCATTTTGTGTCGGATGCGAGGAATTGACGATCAAGGCAGTTACGTATGCATTACCGCATCGCCTCCTGATTTCTCCTTGCCCTGGCGCATCGGCAGCCAGACGGTTACGGAGGCGCCCATCTCGGTTTCTGTTACTTTCGTTTTCAATGGATATTCTTTTCTCATGATATCCCATGTGACCGTGTTAGACTGTTATATTCCTCCTTAGAATATCTAGTATTTGTTCATATTCTGTCTCGCATTAGGTCCTGGGCATAGCTCAGCGGCGAAGTTGTTGCGATTTCCAATCGCGACGAGTTGCTCGGCGTGGCGACTGAAAGCAGCGACTGAGTCGCTCATCGGTCGGAGGCGTGCATACCTCC